TTTTTTTTTGAAGCTATTAAAAATGAAGCCACGGTGAATATATTATTGCAAGATTTCTGTAGTTCAAGTCCAAAGGCCTGGCATTGCCCAACCTGTAGGTCCGACCATTTTTAAGTTGCTAAATAAGTCATATTGTCCTTTGGAAAACAAATCTCACTGTTCTGAGTCCAACATTCAGAGTACGGTTTCCTGCTGTTTTTACCTGCCTTGTGTGACGGCACTTTCTGGAGGCTGCGTCCTAGTCCACTTTCTGTCAGTCACTTCCTTTGCAGGCTGTAAGGTCCCTGGCTCTGCTTCTGGTGATTCTTTCCCATGCACCGAGGACCTGGTCCCCGTCACCCTCCTGGCATCCAGAGATGAGCAAGGTGCAGGGACCTGGTCCAGTCACCCTCCTGGCATCCAGAGATGAGCAAGGTGCGGGGACCTGGTCTAGTCACCCTCCTGGCATCCAGAGATGAGCAAGGTGCAGGGACCCGGTCCCCGTCACCCTCCTGGCATCCAGAGATGAGCAAGGTGCAGGGACCTGGTCCAGTCACCCTCCTGGCATCCAGTGATGAGCAAGGTGCAGGGAATGTATGCTCCAGACTGTCACAGGCCACAGGGGCATGTGACAGGTGTCATGGAAGGCTGCTGGGCAGTGGGGGCAGCAGACATTGTGTTCAGGAAATCCTTCCCAGTATTACTAAACCGAGGTCCAGGAGCCGGAGGGCCTGATCTACCAGAATGTTCCAGGGAGAGGAGCATCTCATGGACAAATACCAGAAATCAAGTGGCCTCTTYAGGAACCTGCAGACAAGGCAGAGTTGAAGGGTTGGGAACGGGCAACGGCAAAGATGGTAGACATGGAAAGGTGGGTGGGGGGCCAGAGGGCAAGGGCTTTCTGTGCCATTACTGTCCAATAGGACAGGAGCCACCTACATAATTTTAACTGTTCTGGTAGCTATATTCAAAAAGGCTTAAACAAATCAGTTGAAATTAATTTRAAAACATATCTAACAGCATATACCATTCATCCGTAATCAGTGTAACTACGAGTAGGGTGTCTTCCCATTAAGTCTGGTATGCACTCGACACTACGGCCCCTCGCTTCAGGTGGTATTTGTGGTGCTCCGTAGCCGTGTGTAGAGGGGCCTTTGTACTGGACAGTGGTTGCCTGTAGTCAGGGGCCACCCAGGTCATGGGCTGGTGAAGCTGTTCCTGTACTCYAGAGGGACGTGGTGTGGTCTGATTTGCTCTAGAAAGACAACAGCAGCCAGATTGGAACAGGATGAGACCGCAGCCCAGAGGCCTGCAGGACACATCGCGATTAGGCAGGAGGTGGACTGGCCAGAGGCAGGGAGCASGGAGGGTGGGAGCAGAAGATGGATTCCAGAGGCCGAGGCCGAGGGAGGATGTGGTTGAGGGCGCCACTGGTTGGGTGATGGGTCAGGGCAGCTCGGCTGTGGCCTTCACTGTCTGGATCACAGAGCCCCTTGCTGGACAAGGAGAGCTGGGGGGAAGACCCTGCCCAGGGGAGGATGAGGAGTCCTGTCAGATCCGGGCAGCGGGAGGCTGGCTGGTGGCAGTGTCTGGTGGGCAGGACCAGAAGGCCGTCTCCTGGTGGAGGACAGGAAAGAAACGGAGCAGAAGTCAGGCTCCGGAATCTTGGCATCGTGGTGAATATCGATTGATGCTCTGAAACTGGATGGGAGGGAGAGAGAGGAGAAGGGCCGGGGGAGGAAKACGACATGGAGGGGACCGAGAAGGCACAGCCCTCAAAGGAGGTGCAGACAGCAGAGCGGGGACGGTCCAGATGTGGGACAGAGAGCCTCCAGGGACGGAGCAGGCAGAGGAAGGCGCTGACTCCTGCCCCAAGCCCTGCCCAGAGCCAGCAGGGCAGAGCCAGTCTCCTGCATCTAAAAGCGAGCGCAGGTTGTGTCTTCTCTGCTGTGATCACCTCCAGTGTGTTCCCCGAATCTTAGCTTGCCCGACTCCCACCCCGTCTTCTCCTGAAGCCGCAGATGGCCGCAGCAGACCTGTCAGATCTAAGTCTGCGTTCCCCCCCCTTCACCTGACAGCTGATCTGGGCTTCACCACGTGACGCTGGGGGAGAAACGTGCGCTGATGTGTCAGGTGGCAAGAGGGGCGCGGTTTCCATTCATTAGCTTGGGAAGAGAGGGCCACAGAAGCAAACCGTCACCACGTGGCAGGTGCATGTCGCTCAGAACATTGCTTCATAAGCTTATTTTATGTTGAAATAAGAGTTTTCAAAACTCCCGAAGCCATGTTATCTGCTTATTTCCGACAAGCCTGCTACATGCTTTCCAGCATCACTCCAGCTCCGAGGGGCTTTCCTGTTCCAGTCTGTCTGTCCCATCCAGGGGACGCCGCCTTTCCAACCCGAAGTCTGAACTGACATCTGCACTTTGCAGCTCAGGGGTTCTGAGTCTGGGGATTGTTCCCCACCTGGGCCTCCAGTGGGCAGACCCGGGCCTCAACTGCGTTCTCCTGACTCCAGGTTCAGGCCCTTTTCTGCCAGCCACGGCGGGTGCTTCTATTTACCTAGGCTGACTTTTTTCAAGTTTTTATCAGACTTGATTTTTATGATTTATGATATTGCTTAGGAATGGGCTTAACTGTAGAACAAAGAAAACCCCATTAACAATGACTTAAAGAAAGAGGTGTTTATTTTTCACATGTACTATAAATAAAAATGCAGATCTGGGGATGTAGCTCAGAGGTAGAATATGTGCAGACCCTGGGTTCAATCCCACCAAAAAAATTATACCAATAATAAAAAATATGTGGGCCAGTGCTGGGGTTATATCTCAGTGGGAGAGTGCTTGCCTAGCATGTGTGAAACCCTGGGYTGGATCCTTGGAACCACATAAAAATAAATAAAGTAAAGGTATTATGTCCATCTACAACTAAAAAAAATTTTTTTGAATCTGTGAGCCAACCCATGGCCATTTACCACATGCCAGAGTGGTCTAGTCCCAGGGGCTCAAACTTGACCCAGTTCCTCTTCTCATGGAGTTTATATTCTAAAATGGGCATGAAACGTTTTAGAAAGAGCCACATAGAAAATACCATACATATAATAATCTATGGGCTCTGCAGCCACAAGATCTCAGCAGTCGCTATTTAAATCTGTTGCCGTAGAGTATGAGCAACCACAGGCAATGTGGACAGGATTGGGCATAGCTATGTTCCAATAAAACTTTATCAAGTTTGTCAACACTGTCTGAGAGAGTGAATGGCCGTTTACTAGGTTACTCTTGGTGTTTCACTGGCGAAATTCAAAGCCTCTCTCTCTCTCTCTCTCTCTCTCTCTCTCTCTCTCTCTCTCTCTCTCTTTTAATTTTTATGAGGAATCCCATTCTTTAAGAGGTTAAGTCTTTGTGAAGTCCACGTTCCCGGGTCGGGGGTTCAGGTTCTGTTTAGACTCAGGCCTGTGCTCTTGGTTGCCATTCCATTTTTGACCTGGTCTCTGTGTTTTACTGTGTGTCAACTCTGGAATCCCAACCTGAGAGCTGATTTCATGTAATTGTAAAAACAAGTTGTTTTTGGAGAATGGATCTGTGACATTAGAGGGGATGGCGTACTTACTAGAAGGGGTACAGCTGGGGTCCTGTCTGAGTTTCCTGACCTGGGTGCTGGTCTGTGGGTACAATCCATTTGTGAAAATTCAGYAGCTTTGCAGTTGTAACGTGTGCCATGTGTGGGGATATAGGTGTGTCTTCCATGAAAGTTTACCCCAAAACGCATACCGCAGCAGACCCCATGGCCAAATGCAGAGGTGGGCTGATGGGATCTGGTTGGGAGGTTCCCAYGACCGTCTTGACCAGATAATCTGAGTAAGAACAGCTCATGTGGGGGAGTAACAAACACTAGTTGTGTTTTCCCTCTGCCCAGACAAATTTGCTTGAGAATGCGAGATTTGCACCTCCACCGGGATGCTGGGAAGTGCCACCTTTTAGCCAGGTGATGTAACAAGGAGTTGAAATTACACTGCGGTCAGATTGCTGGCGCTGACCTCGCTGCGGAGCCTCTTAGTAGCAGGCGACTGGGCTTCAGCCCACTGAGCCTCACTTAGTAAAATGGGAGTAACAGTGCCC